ATTTCACGCTGTGAATACAGTCGAATACAATAATCTGTCCAGATGTAATCCCATGTTTCACTCCATGAATACAGTCGAATACAACAACTGATTAGCTGGACTTCCCTGATTCACGCCTATTTTTGCTATTGTATTCATGAATACAATAGCTTAAATACATCAAATACATCTTATAACCACATAAAAGGTATCTATATTCCGTAATATAGCAAATGGTATCTAAAGATGGCTAATTACTACTAAAAGATAGTGCTTTATGAAAATTTCTCTAGTTAGCCCTAAGCCACTAAATACGCTAATCAGTTACACTATTTTCTTTCTCTCTCTACTTTGATACATCTCATTCTCTTCCCCCATCCCATTAAAATTTTTGATCTCCTCCTCCTTCCACCGGATTTGTGCAAAACCCACTTCAGAAACTGCTACGGCTCCCGCATCCGATTGAGTGACCGGCCTTTTCCGACAATGGGAGCACTCCGAACAGACTTAGAGACCGGCCTTAGAGCCATCAATTGGCTCGCTGTAACCTTTAATCGACACCTCTGAAGTAGCCATTTTCCTTATACTAATTCTCAACACAGATCTCTCATCTCCAAGCACAAATTAATTATCAACAAAATGAAACTTACTTCTCACAAATTAGCAAGTGATCAAGCGATGTCCTTATCAAAGTCAAACATAGTGTACAAAATCTTCAAATACAACGAGATACATTCAAATTGCTTATGGAATCATGGTCGGAATCCGATGGGTCGTCGGAGTCTGAAGTTTGGGGTTGAGCAATTTGAAGATTCTGTTACCTTTTTTTAAGAGCATTTCAATGTATCTCGCTGTATTTCTATGTATTTCATTGTATTCACTATCTTTTTTTTCATTGTAATTCAATGTATCTCATTGTATTCCATGTATTTCATTGTATAAATGCCTTTTTTTCTCATTGTATTTCAATGTATCCCTCTGTATTCTATCTATTTCATTGTATTTTGCGGTTGAGAATCTTTTTTATAACTTAAAAATACAAAATTTGTGTGTTATAATTGAGTTTGTTAAGTTATATTAGGAGTCTATTATGTTAATTGATTCACTTTCCGTTTTAAAAATAGTGTAATCCCCTATTTCACGCCGTGAATACAGTTGAATACAATAATCTGTCCAGCTGTAATCCCATGTTTCACTCCATGAATACAGTCGAATACACTCGAATACAACAACTGATTAGCTGGGCTTCACTGATTCACGACTATTTTTGCTACTGTATGCATGAATACAATAGCTTAAATACATCAAATATACCTTATAACCACATAAAAGGTATCTATATTCCGTAATATAGCAAATGATATCTAAAGATGGCTAATTACTACTAAAAGATAGTGCTTTATGAAAATTTCTCTTATAATTATGAGCGCATAATACCATACTTACTGAGACAATGTTCCCAATTAATATTCCAGCACCAAGTCAAAAGGGTCTAAATAACTTCACGCACTTATAAGCGGAAATTATCTTTCTTTCAACTATTTTAACTTTTAATTTCATATGACTTATTTCAATTGATATTTAGACATTAATTGCATCATTAGTACTCAAAATTGGCATCAAAACACTCTACAATTTGCTAATATTATTACTAAACTTTAATATATATTCTCCCACATCAATCTAATACCAAAAGAAAAACACATGAAAAATGACTTTCCTCATACCAATTTTCTTGATTTGATATATCAAAACTATTGACAATTTTGTGTGCACATTGCATAAACTAAACCCACTTATTCTTTTTTTTTTTTTTAATTTCTCACTCGATATCTGTTACCCGCTTTGGGCTCAACTAATCTGGATTCCCGTCGAAAATTTTTACTTGGGGAGGGAGGGGGGGGGGGAGGGGGGGGGAAATAAAACACTCCCTACCATAGGCGATCTATTTCCGCAGCTCGAACCCAAAACCATTGGTTAAGGATGAAAGGGTACTTACAACTTCACCACAACTTTCGGTGAAACTAAATCCACTTATCCATGCACAAGAATTCCAAAATGTGATCATTGTGTATTCATTCGTTCCCTTGTCCCTTCCCCTAACGCACAAACCACTTGCAGAAAAAGCAGGTAAACAAATGGGAAGACGTGTGTAATCGGAATGGGAAACAAGTAATACTTCCTCCGGTCCAAAATAAGTGATTTTTTGGATGTTTTCACACAAATTAAGAAATTACATTTTAGCATTAATTAGCAATGGAATTGACCATATTAACCTTTACTATCTCACATAAACATTCCTAACACATATTCCAACACCATTTACTTCAAGGACAATGTAGGAAAAAAATAATTAATTCATTCTTAAAATCCGAAAAAATCACTTATTTTGGACCACAAAAAAAAGGCCAAAATCACTTATTTTGACCGGAGGAGTAGCATAAAAAGATTTTAGAGGAAACACGGAAGTATTTGAGAAATATATATGCAGAATAGCCCTAAATGGGCACTTATACTTGTGCACTTTGGTCATCCGATCCTTCTACTTTAGCATTTGTCAATATGAACATCTTATATTTGTTTCAAATAACGATATGAAGGAGGTTGCCGGTGCGTGTGTAATACAGATTCTCCTACACGTAGGATGCAACATCATTACTAGTAGCCACAAAGGAAAATGAAACTATTGACTTTAAATCGTTCATTTTTTTTATCCCTACTCTGCATTCTACTTTCTCTTACCACCTGAACAATCATACTGCTATTTGAGCCAGGAAATTCCCCGGACACCATTAAAAATCTGGAGATCACTCTTCTTCTCCATTGGTTTCTTAATTATTTGGGACAAAAAGCACCGACTTCAGATAAATACTGAACCAGAGATTTGTTTTTCCTTCGAAAAAGAGCAGATTCACATTTCCTTAAAATAACGACAACTCATCTTTTGGCCTACTTTAGATAAGTGTTACTGGAAATTACAATGGAATTTTGTCATTGGATGAGAATAGTTCAATGGTGGAAATAATGTGATTTTGGGGAAATGAATTAAAGGGAGGGAGACAACGAAAAAGTGGGGGGTGCAGGTTGGTGGGGGGGGGGGGACGGGAAGGGGAAGAGAAGAGAAAAAGAAATAAAAATGGGAGATGGGTTTTGGGGGAAGGGAACGGGGAAGATGGGGGTGCAGGTTGGGGGGGGGGGGGGGGAGAACAGGAAGGGGAAGAAAGAGAAACAGAAATGAAATGGGGTTTTGGGGAAGAAGGGGGTTAGTTTATTTTCTATAAATTTTACTGTTGTTTTCATTTTATTATTTTTTTCTCCTTAGTTCAATCATTTCTTAGGCCATTTTTTTTATGTTCACGCGCGTTGTATGCGTGAATTACACGCTTGTTGTCTAACTCATCTATAATATTGCCACATATGATTGGTCAACGGTCAGAGGGGTTTAAAATATAAGTTTGGATAAAGTAAAAGAATTTGGATAAAAACAAATTAAGTAGAAGGACCGGAATGACAAAGTGGCACAAGTATAATGCCATTTAGGCTATTCTGCCATAATATATTATGATCAGTTATTATGTAAATACATTGACCATATAACTAAATCCTATTATTACATATTTTATTTATAGTTGTAAACTGATGAGGAGAGGAATATATGATTCTCGCGTCGATTTTTTCTTTTCAGTTGAAGATGGGGCATTTGAAGTCGTACCCTATATTTGTGTCACCTTTTAACCTATACCCTATTTTTAAAAATTATTAATTTAGTAGCTAGCTGGAAAAAAATCCGTAATAATATGACAATTACACCCCTGACAAAAGATTAATCGTGTGATCTGCAACCTCATTCGTGAAAAAAGATCTCCTCCTCTCCTCTCAGCAGCTTTATAAAAAAAAAGCAGAAATTTGTCAGATTCATCTTTAGAATCACACTTGCATGAAGTTATTGCACCTTGAAGCTAAAACTTCATGCTAATGTAAGCATTGTTTCATGTTGAAGCTAAAACTTCATGCTAATATAGCATGAAGTTGTTTCGCATTAGCTAAAACTTCATGTTAATGCATGCTGAAGTTATTTATCCTGCAGTCTACAATTTTATCATGAGTTTTATCCGACACTTCAGTATGCTGAAGTTATTTAGTTCATTTGAGAAAACTTCAGACTAAACAAGCTTAAGCTTTTTAGTTCATTTGCTAAAACTTGAGACTAAACATGCTTAAGTTTTTATCTTGCAGTATGTAATTTTCTAATGAGTTTTTGCTAATGCATGCTGAAGTTATTTAGTCCATTTGCTAAAACTTCACAAAACATGCTGAATTTTTGTCCTGCAGTGTACAGTTTTGTCATGAGTTTTATCCAAAACTTCAGTCTAAACAAGCTGAAGTTTTTTAGTTCATTTGCTAAAAAGACTAAACATGCTTAAGTTTTTGTCTTGCAGTATGTAATTTTCTAATGAGTCTTTTCTAATGCATCCTGAAGTTATTTAGTTCATTTGCTAAACCTTCATACCGAAACATGCTGAAGTTTTGTCCTCCAATCTACAGTTTTGTCAAATAGTCCTGAAGGGCATAATCGTCTTTTTAAAACGCTTTTAACAAAAAAATGGATACGAATGCAAACGAAAATACAAAACGGATATAAGTTCAAAAGGAGCGACCAAATAGGTTACCCATGCAATTTTTACGTTAAAGATAGATGAAATAGTTAAAAGAAATCCATTCCAAGTAAAAATGAGAGTGCCGTACCTCGATTCTTTGACTAAACTAGTCAACATTTCAAGAAAGATGAAGAGTACATTTTCATAATATGATGGAAGATAACATTGCTCCGTTCTTGGCAAAATGACCAATGTTTTATCCTACTTCTACGTGGGCTACAATAATTTTTTATTCTACTTTGCATATATTTTGTGTTTCATGTTTCTGATAATACCACCCATCCTCCAACAGCAGCACCGTATAGCATAAAACAGCTGAAAATTAATAAAACTCAGTGAACTAATCAACATTGGAGATGAGACTTCTTAGTTAATCGGAACATATCATTTCAAGAAAACTGTGTATCGACCTGATCGGATCATTTTGTTCTATCAATCACTATTTGGTACTAGTATGCTAGTATTGTACAGCCAAAATGGTAACAACTATCAGACTTAAGTACAGGTACCGCGATGGAGGCACAAAATTGCATTAAAGTAACCCCCTTAAATCTTGTATCGACAGCCAACAGGGCTGCATATATGCCTTTTAAAGAGTGAAATGAAAGCACTATAAAGCTTTCAGATGAAGATATCAGAACTGTAAACCAAAGGAAACAGTGAAGAAGCTGATACTGGATTTGCTCCTGCAGCTCCCAAATGGTGCTTCAATAGATCTGTTAAGCTTAACGGCTCTCAGCTGCAAAATTCACCATCTAATTATGCTAATGATGGTGCCAACAAAGAATATGTCAATTTCACTATACGAAAGCCCTCTCGACGGGAACTTTATCTTCAAGCTGTGCTATTACTAGGGGGAGATGAGAACATTTCCCTCTGCAAGAGGACTACAACCTGCTTGGACGTGCTGCTTTTCCAACTGCTCTAATTCATTAGTGGGAAATACTTCTGATTGAAGGGATGGGCATATATTGTGGACATGCAACCATGTTAACTTCCAGAAGCTGTCTCCTCCGCTGGGATCACTTGGCACCAGAATTCCACTTGTTTTCATGACAAGTAGAGTGTTCTTTAGGAGCTCGGGAATGAGTTCAGGGATCTTCTCACTCCTTTTCCCTTTGAATTTCACCTTCGTGCATCTGTCTGTTAGACCCAATACCCCTAACCATAGTTTGCAGAAGGATGTCAACTGGAAAAGATGCTGCAAAGACTGTAAAAACACTTTGAACATGAGCTTCAGGGCCAAAACAATTGCTTCTTCAGTGCTCCTGTAATCCTTCACAGAACTCTTCTGGGCAAGATTGAGTAATTCATCCAGCAATGTAAATATCACCTGATCAAAACATTGCAACCACAATTCTTTCGGGATAAGAATCCCATCAACTCCGGTCAAGCACCCCTGCAACATCAAGATGGCGTGATCCCTAACCTCTTCTCTCCGGTCCAAACAAAATTTTCGGAGTCCTTGTATCAGCCTTAGCCACATCTCCGTTATATCCTGGGTCATTTTTATAGCAGCCTCCTCCCCAAGTGCCTCCTTCGCCTTGTGAGACCATCTAATCAGAGAAACAAGTGATCCAGCCATCAGGTCTAAAGATCTCACAGATTGATCAACATTTCTGATGCGGGAGTCGGCAAACTGAGCTGCCACATTCAAACAGAGGATGTAATTAGCAGGCAAGAGGTGGGCCCCATCATGCATGATGAATGATAGTGTCTCGAATCCTGTTTCAGATGCTTCTGGATGCCGAGCAGTAAAAGAAAGCAGAGATATAATTGTCCGCCAGCCCGTATGTGATCGTATCTGCATAGCATTTGCTTTGACAAGGTGCATAACCTCCTGGGTTATCTGTTCAAGAAACGCCTCAGCAACCCGAGCATCAAGCTTCAAGATAAGTTGCAGAGACTTGAGGAGCTCATCTGTCAGATTTTCCTTGTAAGGAAGCAACCTTTGGCATATGCGAAGCAGACCAAAGACAGCCTTCTCTACCAAAGTACACGGCATTGTTGTCAAATGGACAACACTTGCTATGTGATCATAAACAACCTGCCAAAGAAGCATTATTCTGTCCCGGTTATTTATTGAGATAGCAATAAGCAACTCTAGACAAAATACTGCAGTCTCTTCATCTTCCAGAGAGTTAGTTCCTTTGCGAGGCTGGCCCGCAGCCAACACAAGGGCGCGAACAAGCTGCAACAGGGATTCTGCTTGCAAAAATTTACTCTCAGCAAAGATGCTATCAATTTGACAACTCTGAATCGTCTGAAGAGTCTGCTGACGTTCGGCAAGTTGTTTTTCAGTTGGCTGTGGTGCAGGTTCTTCTGCATCAAGATATAACAGTTGGCTAAATACGCCCATTAAGCCAGATGATTTCCTTGATGGAGCCAAAGAAGGAACATGAGATGGTGATGGAGAAAGTGCAGCAGGTTTCCTGGGGTCCGCATCAGCAGGAGGCTCTAAGTCATCAGCAGCATCATTAAAGAGACGTGTGGGAAGAAGGCCAAATTTGTGCAAACTCAAAATGCAATCCAGGATGTTCTTCCAACCAGAGCGAATGTGGTCACCGTATTTGTTTGCTATTGTGAAGACTGCTAATGTGGCCAGTCTAGCTTTACCATCTTCCGCAAATGCAACAATAAATTCATCAACATAAGATGGAAGCAATAGGGTAGTGAACTTGCAAAGAGATACTACCAAATCATTTAACACATCATCGAAGCTATAGGCAGCTGCAATTTTGGCAATGGCAAGGTATCCACTGATACATGTTTTCCAAACATCCTCTTGCTCCACATTATCAAAAATCACTGAGATGGCAGCAATTGTAGGACCAGACAACATAGCAAAAATATCGTAATCAAGATAAGGACCAGGATCACAAACAATATACGGGGAAGTTTGCCTTGATTTATGAACTAGACCAATCCAATGACTTGGTGCCATCATCGGGGTACCAGCACCTCGATCTGGGATAATCCGGATCTCATCCTCACAGATGGAGTGGTAAAGCTCAGACAAAAATTCCCGAGGGAGGTCATTTCCTCCATTTATTCTCCGGTTGTTGCGGATGAAATCTTCCTCTGTCATCTTCTTTTTGACCTGTGTATTGTGTTGATCTGTGTTAAGCATGATAAGTGAATATGACAACAACAGTGCAGCATCTTTATTGGCCAGAATATTTGGTGACTGCTCGTAATATCTCTCAGCAAATGCCTCAAGCACCCTCTGTATTTTCTGCGACTCTCCAGGCAATCTGAAAGTCTCCAAAAAGATTCGCAAGGCTATGTCTAAGTTCATGTCCCGAAAATCAAATGTTCCAGCAAATTCGTGAAGCACTTGAATATAGAAGTCTTCATGACTTCCCAGGAAATCCCCGAGAAGATTCTTATCTATGCCATTCATATACCTGAAAAAGCATGCTACACTTTTTGGGGTAAGTTTCTCAGGTAACAAATGCACTCCTTGGAGAAATTCCATACCCTTTTTTGGATCTCGGTTAAAGTGATCAACTCCGATCAACAATTTCCTCTTTATGAGCTTCATCTTACGAACAAATGGAACCCAATGATTAGGATCACTGTAGTCCTTGCATATCTCTGTCCAAAATGGTCTATATTCACCCAGATCTACTGAAGCTTGTTCAGAAACTAATGAATCCTGGCTTATTCTCTCGGCCATACCCTGGATCATGGCAACTAGACCATCCAAGGCAAGCGTATTTAAAGCTGATAGCGGAGTGTTGACCGGAAAGGAACTTTTTGATAACAAGTTTGCAAGGTCTTCAAAAACATTGCTGCAAGATACGTCGCAGTCAAAATTTGCATACATCTCAGGCATGAACATAAGCTGCCTGCAGAAGTCAACAAGAGTTTCCATGGCAACCTCTTGCTGCTGATAAGAAGCTCCATGCTTGCTTTGGGAAATCCTCAATAACACACCAGAGAAGAAAGCTTCAAGCTGTAGTTTTAACTTAGTACGCATATGGTGATACAGATTTAGAACAATGCTACAAACTGTTGAAAGAATTAAAGGACTCATTGACGAGCCAAAACGCATCAGATTGTGGAACAACTCCTTCTGTATCAGAGCCAATAACTCAGGATGATTTCCAAGAGAAGCACCACTTACTTCTATGGCTGAATTAATTAAACCCAGCGCAAACAAGGGAACATCTTCATCATATGCTATAGGGTTGGATCTTGAACCAATTTCAATGGACTCCATCACATTCAGAAGAGAACATAGGAAATGAAATATCTCCACCATGCAAGGTATCCCATGCGGATCCATCATAGAATTTTCTCTGTTACAAGCAATCTCCTCCTTTTGAGCTTTCTCGTCTGCTGTTTCATCCCTCTTGCTGACTGATGATGCATTTGAAGGAACTGCAGTCGATACTGACTTACCAGTCGATTCTGCACTAACACAACCATTGTCATGTTGTTTTTCGCCTGCCTGCATAAAAGTAAGTGACGGTAAACAAGAAGGGATTCTGTCAGATTTCAGTATCTGGCATAGCCGCAAATTCATCTGGAGCTGAGTGTAAGCCATATGCTAGCTTCAACTAATTGTGAATGAGCACAAAAGTTAAGAAGGCTTGGATAAGAATCACACTAGGTTCACTTCAAAAGGCCAATTTGCAATCCTAATATTGATTTTATTAATTTAAACTGTACGTTTTAACAAGCCAACTTTGGTCAGGAATCACTAGTACATGCAGCTATGGTCTCATTCAAAGGAAGCATAAAAGAGATATAAAAAGTAAATGCAAATATATAAATCAAGAGTCCCAATTACCTCTGTGTCAGCAGCCAATCTGCTTCGCTGATCAAATTCATGCCCTCTGCTGTCAATGTTAGGCAGGTGAGAGAAAATATGTCTCACCAACTCATGCATTGTGTGTCTTGCTATTCTCTGCAGTAGTTCGCTTTTGGCAGTAGCTTGATGAACAAGCCGAAAGCAAGTGTTTACAATGTTGCACACATGATGATTACTCAAATTTTCTGATGCCTTACTTTTCATGCAAGCCAAAAGAACCTGAAGTATCTTCATCAGCACCACTTCCTCGGAGGCAGGATCAGTCACTTCAAAGCGGCAACTTGTTACGGTGTCAACTATCTGATGCAAAGCTTTGTCCACATTCAAGATAGCTGAATCAATTATTTCAAGGGTTAAGAATTTGTAAACAGATGACAATGCGACACCAGTTATTGGTGCACCAGTTTCATCAGATTGAATCACATCCAAGAAGGGCTGTAGATATATGAGCGGATCAACACTGTTCCAATGATGTATCCATGAGAAGATATTTTTCCGCAATTCCTTGAAAGAATGGATGAGAGGATGCTCTAGTTGATCATCATCATCAGCATAACGAAATCCCCACCTTACATTTCTCCTCATAACGGCCAAAACAGCACCAATTTCGGAATTTACCATACATGCTAAGGCACCTTTTAAAGGCACCAATTTCGTACAATCCTTGGGTTCTGAAAATGGAGAATGGACTTCATTCTGCTGATTAAGGCACCCCATCATGATTTAACTTTAATTCAGTTCACTTGAATTGTAAAAGAATCAAAAGGCTACAGCATGAATCAAGCAGCATCTTGGCAAAATCAGTCCCTGCAAAAGAGCGGGATAGAAAACCGAGTGACACTGACTAGAACCATTTTCAAATTGTGCTCTACTATTCTATTTGATAAAAAAGAGAAAATGTAGAAGAAAAAAAAGCGATGACAAGAGATACTTTTACATCTGTACTAAATTGAGTCATTCTAGATTCAATTTATTGAAGATGAAGCAAATAACTGGACGTCTTCATAGCAACAGCAGCATAGTACTGGATAAGATTCGTCCAATGTAATTAAAATATTAAATTCCATAGACACTTAAACACTAAATTAGAACCCACATATGTGCTGATAAACATTAGGGGATTACACATACATGCAAGAGGGATTTGTTATCTATCTAATGCATAACAACTTCAATACCCCACACGAAGCACCAAAGAGAGTTACATGTTGAAGAAGGTTTTGGATATCTTTACATGCTAATACGCATTATCTCAAGGAAAGAGTAAAATGGTTAGCTAGTCGATAGGTATAGTGGACTCTCTAAAGTTAATATTCTACAAGAAAATAAGTAAAATTTAATAAAACCAAATTCCAAGTACTTAAACTAATACGTATTTTTTATACATAAAGTTAATAGTTTTTCCTTTGCAGCATTACACCATATTTACAGCATTGTAAATTATCATCAGTCACTTAAGAGTATTCCAATCATAATGTTGTCATCCAATAGAATCATTCAAAATTGAATTTCTCTGTAAATTAACTCTCCCTTTGCCAATGACAAATAATAGAGATATGGGCAGTAATAAACAATTTTTATTATGAAAGTCTAATAGATGGGTTTAAGTAATTTGGTAATGTTGGTAAGTAAATAAACTTACATTTTCTTGAACAATTGATAATTCTTGTCCAACTTGAATATCAATTATTAAGTCAACCCTACTCTTCAAGTACTCTTCTAGGCATCCACGTTTGTGCTGCTTTCAAATGTCAAAATCAATATTCTCTTATCTCTCTCTTATAAGGTTATCTTTCTTTGACGCAACAAGTGGAAAAATAAGATAGATTAAAAAGGAGCACAACACGAAATGCTACGTTACATTCTTTGTCCTAAACCAATAGATCTTTGCATTCTTAGAAATATCAAGAATAAGCTTTGCCTTCAGCATTCTGCAATCAATATTGAACTTCTCTCCTAAATGATTATCATAGAGAACCCCTAATATGTCTTAAAATCTATGTTACTCGGACTATCCAAAAATGTTGATGCACCCCCCGCGCCATATCCTCAGAAAATGCACTACTTTTGGAGGATTCGACACGTACCTGGAAAATTTTGAAGAGTTCAAGCGACCTTGCTTAAAAAGTAAAATTTTTAGCATTGGAATGAAATGAGCACCATTAGAGCAAAATGAATATATAAGATTGTATGACTGCAACTAGCTTGAGATTGAGGTAAAGCTGATTTGTATAATTTAGTAAAAACACGCCACAACCACCACCCCCTGAAACAAATATCCATAATAAAAAGGCAAATAGCAGAAAAAGGAAAATTAAATCGACATTCCGAACAATAACATTTCAATTCTCAATTGAAATGATCTTACGGTTTAGGGTATGACAAACAAAATGATCTTAGACCACCAATTGCAAAGTTAAAATCGCCTTTTCGATTTTCAATAGCATATGAAACTTATTATATAATAATTTCTGTGTGCGAGGAAATTCAGGAATAATAGCTTTAAAATCGAACTTGGGGATCTAAATAATTGGCCACTAAAATCAACAATCGGAGACATAATTGATAATGAAATAATTAACTGATGATCACTTTTGGAGTTGGGAATTCAGCTTTTAAGATAATATATGTATGAGTGATCCATTGGATCGAGAGGAAAGTGAAATACCTTATAGACATTAATGTTGAAAGCTGCTCCCGTCACCACGGTCATCGCTCGCACTTGATTTTTGGTAGTTGATTTTTTGGAGGTTTCTTTGTCAATCTTTAAAAACGACGAGTCAGAAAGTCAAATTTTTTGTTTTCATTATTATTCTGTCTCTTAATCTAATACGTAGTACGTAACAAAATTATGAAAATTTTGTCTCATTTTTTAATAATAGAAATTATAGAAAACTTTTAATGCTTCTAGTTTTTATATTCTACTAGTCTTAGGGTACAATATCATTGCATACAAAACTTTAAGATTAAATATTATGAAATATTCTTTATAAACTAATTACAAAAATTACAGATAAAAGTACTGTTATTACACTGTATTTGTAAAATAAATTCTGGAAATATAAATGAATATAAACAGTAATGAATATAAACAGAAATGACATAAACCAATTCGAGCCCACTGAATTCACAGTGTTTCCTTAAGGAATTTAATCCCCTCCTAGTACCCAAGGTTATGGATTATTTCCTCCCAGGATAGAACGAATTACACACTGGTGTAGTGGTACTTCAAACCCCAGTGTTTCAGCGAACACAAAGTTCGGTAGCAAATCACACTTACTTTTTTTTTTGCTTTGTTTTGATGCTAAAAGTATGCAGAAGAAGGAGAGGAAACTCAGAAAATTGTAGTTAAAATTCTAAGCAGAATAGTGTTGTATTTATAGCCAAAGTTGGGTCTCTTCAGAATGGCTGTTTATGCAAAACGCCCACAACATAAATGCCATTACAAAAATGGCCATTTACTCAATAATAAAGAGGGAAAATAAAGAGGGAAAATTGAAGAGGGTAGTTACTTTTCTGTTACCAAAACAGAAAAACGGATTGGATTTAATATTAATATTTAATATTAATATTTTGTTATTAAAATAAATATTTAATAACATTTCTATTAATATATTACTATTAACAAATAAATTTGGTCCAAAAAGTTAATCAATCAATCGATCATTTGACCAAATCCAAATCCGAATCCGAATCCGAATCCGAATCCGAAGCCGTAGCCGTAGCCGTAGCCGAAGCCGAAGCCGAGCCGAGCGAGCGACGACGACGACGGCGCGAGGCTTGCCTTCTTCTCAACTCTTTAAGAGCTAGAAGAAGAGCAATTGCTTATGTACCCATAAAAAACCTCTTCCTCTTCCAATATGGGACAATGCCCATTTGCCAAGGGAGGGGGAACTTAAAATTTCACTCAAAAATTTCATTTCCCTCCATTTCCCATTCACCCTCTTTTAAGTATTTAATATATTAATTAAATACCTTAAAAACCCAACAATCCCCCACATGAATGGGGAATGGCTATATCACGGAAGTATGCATGAAAAACTGTGTGATTCACAAGTAAGGATTAATTGCATCTGGATAAGTAGGTTTCCCTTTGAACTTTCCGTAGTGAACTTATGTCGGATATACTCGATCAATCGGTAGATTTGATATCTTTGAACCGTCGAACTTTAGTGTATACCTAGACAACCACAAGTCACACAACCAACCCTTAACCGTCTTTGGTTCTCATTGTTGTGTTCGTTTCAGCCATGAACACCGCTTGGTTTCATAAGTGCATAGAGAACTGGCCTTGCTGTGTTCTCCTTGAAGCGGCTAACACTTCACACTTACATAGGTGATTCCTAAACGTGTCATCCCGTAGATACACTATTTTGATATACCCTGTATCAAATTTAGAAATCATTAAAAAGCCTTAATGCTTTATCCTTGGTACTGAACATTGTCTCATCACGAGAATGGACCAAAAGTTTAGTTGACAATGTTGAACCGTCATAAATGACTTTGTTTGATCTCCTTGAACCTAGATCTTGGGATCTCCAGTCTTCTAGGTAGAGTTACCGCCACTATGACTTGTTCTCGGCCACAGTCCCATTCCCTTTGATGACTTCTCAACTACCTCTCTAGTTAGGCCTTTTGTAAGTGGATCCGACACATTATCACTTGACTTTACATAGTCAATCGTGATAATTCCTCTAGAGAGTAATTGTCTAACGGTTTTATGTCTTCGTCGTATATGGCGAGACTTACCGTTATACATAACGCTCCCAGCCCTTCCAATTGCCGCTTGACTATCACAATGTATGCATATTGGTGCCAACGATTTGGGCCAAAATGGAATATCTTCCAAGAAATTTCGGAGCCATTCAGCTTCTTCACCGGCTTTATCCAAGGCTATGAACTCAACCTCCATTGTAGAGCGGGCAATACAAGTTTGTTTGGATGACTTCCAAGATACCGCTCCTCCACCAATAGTGAATACATATCCACTTGTGGACTTGGAATCAGTTGATCCGGTGATCCAATTTGCATCACAGTATCCCTCAATGACCGCA